TTCGTAGCTACGTTAAGAAAAACGAAAAATCGTCATACTGCAACCCTTGCGGAAAAATGTGCAGCATTGCCAGGTATCAGTTGTTTTTCGAACTCAGCTGTATGAAGGAAAACAAAGTGGAAAGGAATTAAAAAAACACATATCATGTGCTTGTTTATAGTAAAATTGCTCGCTTTTATATATTTTGAGGAAAATTATGGATTCTGATGCATTTGCAGTTATAGCAGCGGAGTAAGAGCGCGCTATGGCAATGGACTCACAAAGGTATGCGGAGTTGCCGAGCATAGTAACCATGGGCGCATCTATGTCAGCTTCTGGTTGAATTGTTTAACTACACGCCAGAATTCCTCCTATGCCTGCAGAACTGGTTCCCAATCCAGTTAATACAACAACAGCTTATTCCAAGCCATTGAAAACATGCATTTTGTTAAGTCCACTACCTATTGCGCTTGCAACTGCCTTCAGCCGCGCTTAGGGATTATAACTCTTACTAAGTATAATTCGGCCGCTGTGGTGTAGTGGTAAGCAGTGCGCGCTTCCACTCCGCAGCACCAGGGTTCAAACCCTGGTCAAAGCAACATCGCAAAAATATAGAAAAAAAAGTTTCTCCTTAACAGCGGTCGTCCCTCGGCAGGCAATGGCAAACCTCCGACTGTATTTCTGCCATGAAAAACAGCTTCTCACAAAAAATACAATCGCCGTTCGGAGTCGGCATAAAACTGTAGGTCCCTCCGCTTTGTGTGACAACATCAAGGCGCACGCCACAAATCGGAGGAGAAGCTCGGCCAAACACTAACATATGTGTAAGCGCCAATCTATTATTATTATTATTAAGTATAATTCTCCTTTCTGTGTTGACGGAGAAGAGGGGCTTCCGCATATCAAAAGTATACAATATTTCTTGTGCATATCACAGTATTTTTGCGCAGAACCCACATCGAAATTTGCAAAAAAGTGCGTAGTGCAAACCGAATTTATTAATAATTTGAAACATTTATTTTAAATAAAGGTTGAATCCTTTGATTACACGTGTATGTTAAAGTTTTTGGATTCGGGTTATGCGTTTGGACACAACAACCGGAAATCATTGTACAAATAATTAAACCGGACCCAAGATTATCGGNTTTGGTTACGATCGGCTTATTCGTTTAGGAGCCAAGTGTGTCTATAGGTACATACATAATTTGAATTTTATATATATAGATAAATCGGTCTCTGTACTCAATAATGTTTTGAGCCCGCCCAAGTCTCCAACATTGGCTCCATCAGGGGCCAAACCAATTAGGTTTCTTATTTTTAAAGGCAGGATTGGCAAATGTTTAAATGGTACATTTGGCAAATATTTATATGCAAAATGATGTTTGAAATTTATATTTTTATAATTGAGAATTTAAAAATTTAATTCAACTATCCGACCAGAATCTTACTTTGCCGACCAACCTACCAAATAAAAAAGAAGCGACCAAATTTGGTCCGAAAGGACCAATAGTGGCAACACTGCTCTCAAACCAAATCGTGGTTGCCTCAACTAAGATTTGGTAACTATGACTAAACCATGTGTTGAAAGAAAGCTTATCTGTATTAGCAGGGCTTAATGACATCCTTTTATGAACCATACTTTAAGTTAAATGGAATTTGTAGAAACATGCTTCAAAAAAATATTTATTAGTATTTACCAAACCCTTCAACTAAATTAACGGTTTGGTACAACCTAGATGAATATTGGAAGCTTTAATATATTTAGTTATAATTACCAACCCATGGTAATAGTTCCCAATCCTTGGTAACAGTTCCCAAATATTGTCAAAATTCGGGAACTAAATATCTTTAGTAGGGTTCGAAATTTCAGACTTTGGTATCGATACTGAGTACTCATTCTGGCATCGAGCTCATGGTATCGATACTCTAAAAGTATCAGGAAAAAAGTATCGATACTACTCAGTATCGGACTCATTAAAATACGTTTTTTGGGATACTAAAATTATTTTATTCTTCAATCGTATATCTAGTTATTTCCTGAAATTAAAACAATAGAAATTTAAAATATTTGATTTTTATTACATTGCAGAACTTACTTTCACGTTAGAAGTAATACATACATACATACATATATATATATACTTTCACGAATTTCTAATTTTATTAAGAATTTTTGTATACTTTTTTGTTTATGTTATGCAATAGACTACACGAAATTTCAGTTTATTTTAAGTGATGGACAAAATTGAATGATAGTAATCCATATAAGCAAAGAAAATTGGGTTGCCAATGGAAGAAAAAATTTAAAAAGAGTGTTTTTTAAAAAGTTTTCGATACTACGAGTACTTTGTAAAGCATCGAGTAAACTCACCGAATAAGGTATCGAGTATTAAAGTACTCATTTTTATACCCTCAGAATCGATGCTTACTCAATATCGATAGTATCGTTCGAACCCTAATCTTTAGTTATCGAAACTAATCATTTTTCTCAGTGTGGGGTGGCTATTTTACGCATTTTAGAATACTGTAGAGTCCATTCTAAAACAAACCATATAAATGTTTACAGAGAAATGCTGAGAAATACTTTAAAACGCTTAATGATTTTTGAAAATGGGTATTTTATTGGACTTTTTAATTTAAGGGTTAGTTACTAATGGAGCTAAAGGTACGAAAAATCTCTATTTTCATAACAAAGCTAAATAAAATATTAAGTACATACCTGATTGTGTACGATCCATAGTAGAAACTCACACGAAATCGACTTTTTCACCATAAATGTAATATTTGAAAACATTGAAATTTGATCGTATCGAACAATCACACGACCACGGTAAGCGAACGGTAACTTCCGACTAAGCGCATGGAGCGGGGGAAAGGCTCTGGCGCGTCGGGTTTGCGCTATTCTTAGGAGGAGATACCATTGTATTTCGAGGAACAATGAAAAAGGGTGTAGAACTAAAACAAAACAATTGGATTTTGTCCAACTTTTAGGGCCAAATACCTGTCCTTAGCCTTCATTTCTATTGCCTTCGATTGTTCATTGTGTTTGTATCTGATAACGTGCATTGGTTGCAGAACCATTTCAAATCAATGTTTTCAGATAAAATTTTAATTTCATTTCGGTTGATGTTGCTGCATTTTAAAAAATTATTATAGCCACACCCACCAGAGCATGTTATCATATCATCTAATTGAAGCAATTTATGGATACTGGTATGGTCCCAGTAGCGAAAATGGTCACCGGTGGCATTGTCACGCACTGGCTGTGAATCCTAAACGACATGTTGCTGACAATGACACTGGTGACAATGACATGCAGGTGTACAGCTATCAAAGACTTATAACATGCAATGGCTTGCAGCGGTAACTTATAAAAAATCCATTGCAGGACACTGTCGTTTGAATGTCATCAATGATCACTGCCTGATAAAGTCTGCATTCGCTACGGAGTATTAATTTGACAAAGTTGTTTTAAGTTTCGCTAATTGTTTCTTATCAATAACTTTTACTCTTGGTTTGGTTGTACCTTAATAGTTTCGCCACTCGCTAAGAGAAATCTATAGCCATATTCTTTAAAACTTCATACATACGATTTTTGTGCTCGTTAAAGGGAATATTTATGCAGTGTCAGATAGGCTGACTTCCAAAACGTCAATTGCATTGCATACGTACAAAGTATAACGTTCCATAACGCCGTACTACAAATGGTTTACAATGTATACTTTTCCAAAACGCATCCGAAAAGTTATCGAAACGCATTGTTAGAGTAATCCGCGCATCAGAAACAAATTTGATACTTCGTTTGTTTTTGGTTTCGATTGGCTTTGTTAAAATGGGAAATTACGAAAGGGTATTAATTGTTATATTGAATATTCAAAATATGCAATGTATGTGGTCATCGGCGTAGCCAGAATGAAATTTAGGGGGGGGCTCGACCCTATTAAGCTGGTATTTCAGGGTACTATTTTATATATATATAAGGAAAATTTGAAATTTGAAATGTCGTTTGATGTTGCTGCATTTTAAAAAATTATTATAGCCACACCCACCAGAGCATGTTATCATATCATCTAATTGAAGCAATTTATGGATACTGGTATGGTCTCAGTAGCGAAAATGGTCACCGGTGGCATTGTCACGCACTGGCTGTGAATCCTAAACGAAATGTTGCTGCCAATGACGCTGGTGACAATGACATGCAGGTGTACAGCTATCAAAGACTTATAACATGCAATGGCTTGCAGCGGTAACTTATAAAAAATCCATTGCAGGACACTGTCGTTTGAATGTCATCAATGATCACTGCCTGATAAAGTCTGCATTCGCTACGGAGTATTAATTTGACAAAGTTGTTTTAAGTTTCGCTAATTGTTTCTTATCAATAACTTTTACTCTTGGTTTGGTTGTACCTTAATAGTTTCGCCACTCGCTAAGAGAAATCTATAGCCATATTCTTTAAAACTTCATACANGGGGGGGGGCTCGAGCACCCCCCTGCCCCTACCTGGCTACGCCCATGTATGTGGTTGAAATGTCTCGCCACTCTGCATATACAAGCAGTTTAAATAGCGCAGTAGAACAGAATCCAAATATTGTATTGGTACGTTTTGGAAATCAGCCATACTTGGCATCGATGAAATCCCGTTCCTTTAATATTACAGTAGTACTAATGATCGTTGGTTCGACAACAACAGGGTTTGTTTTACTAATAAAACAAACTAAAGGGCAATGCATCTAAACGCGTAAATGCCTCGTAACCGCGTAAACCTCGTATATAAACCGATTTTCCACACAAAATTAAGAAAGTTTACGAGGTTTACGTGGTTATGAGGCATTTACGCGTTTAGATGAATTTCCCATACATGTTATACATATTATTAAACTTATAAATTTGATATTTGAACCTATTAATAAAATGGTATTCAGGTACATAAAAACTCAAAAATATTAATTTTGTCACGTATGTCGGCAGTGCTCATATTTTCGCATGCATCGAAAATATTGGACATTTTTAATGCTTACCTTCAGTCAGTCCTGAGCGTCCCAACAGCCCGTTTACAGACATTTGTGTGGCTTGTATATGTATGTAAATGCGTTCTTACTAAATAGATAATAGATGAGCTTTTGTAATGTCCACTTAAACTAAAGGCTTAGCTCCTAAATTATCACGAGGATTCCTATTAAATACCAACTTGTAGATTCTTTGGTTAATTTACAGTGGACCAATTAATTATCCGATGACTTTACATTTTCTGTAAATAAAAAAGAAAAATAATCTTATGTAGAATTTTTTACTTATAAAATCGAATATTTCTGTAGAATTCGTAAGTAGTAATATTATTGGTATGTGATGCATGGAATCTCGACAGATGGTATCATGCTTCTAATTCAAATTTAGGAGCGTAGTTTGATTTGCTTCCAACACGATCGTGATTTAGATTACAATAGAATAACAATTACTTTTTTTTGTATAATTATTACTAATGATTTAAACTATAAAACTGCATTCAGACAGGCATAATGAATAATTAGAGATTTAAAAAAAAAATCTGTTTTCATATATTCACTGTTTGATTGATTCCGGTGATATAATGAATTAGTTTGCGTTTTTATGTATCGTGGTTGCTATTAATTGTATAGAGTACACTTTTCTTTGTACGTGCTCCAAATGATGTTTTTTTTTTCTTCGGAACCATGCTCAAAATATTCGTTTAGACGCCTAAATAAGTCTCAGAAAATATGAGCCCTTTATACTAATATTAAAAATGTCCGCATCGCACTTTTCAATTTCCCATAAGAATAACACAAAAAAACATTTTTTCTTTATTTCTGATTTTTATTTTTAACGAACGATACGTTGTACTGTAAAAGTCTTGGAGTATTTTTGTAGAGAATTGAACGGTTAATTCGGCTTTGATCTCGAATAACTTTTGACCGAGTTGACTTATCGAAAAATAACTTCAGACCTTTTTTGTAGAGCGTTCATACTAGCTGTACCCTGCCACGCTTTGCTGTGGCACATCCCTGTTACATTGATGATAAATGATTAACGAAACAAAGCATGCGTTTCATACGATTCATATAAGTACTCGTTTTTCCATTCTCTACGTAGGAGTCAAGGTTTTGGTCTGGTTTGCCGACACGGCACTGAATCGGCATCTAAATCTAAACCACACTTTTCCACAGATTGACCTTGAGCTTTATTGATTGTGAATTGAAACCATTTAAATTGAAATGGTGTATCGGTTGGAATTATGGGAATTGGAGGTATGAGGACATCTTCACCTTTGAAAGGCCACGTTAAAATGTTTTCTTCCACTACGTTCTTCAACAATTTTTAAACTGCGAGTCGCATGCCGTTGCAGAGTTTTGGCTAATTAATATTCTGCAACATGATAATTGGCACACCTATCTTCAATTTCAGAATGTGGGGTCATTCCTGGAAGATCAATCGCGTTCGAAAATTCCATTGCATAATTAACTGCTTCATCTGTTTCCACAACGGCGTTTATCGACGCATATGTTATTTCCTAACTTGGAATGCTGGATTGAATAGCATTATTGAGGTGATCCTTATTCTTCGCGGCAAGAATGACTCATTCACTGATCCAATCGTGATTCCTATAATTAATTTGAATGTTAAGAAGCATTCTTCCGATCAGCTCTCCTTTCGATGTTTCTAAGTTACAAAAGTTATGAGGCAATAAAATTCGTCCTGATCTCACATCGACTCCCAATAGCCAGTAATTGTCCCGAGAATACCTCGGCTTATATGTAGATCGTTCTGTTACTGGAAACGCATTCGTAGTCAACTGCAATCTATGTTCGTGTTGCCACAATGTTGAATATTTCAAGCAAGCATTTATCTCGTCTGCTGGTGGCGATCGATAAATTACAGGCAAGTTTTGCGTAAAATCTCCTGCGAGCAATGCATTCCCGAATGGTTGAACGTTTATACGCAAATCTCGCACCAATAGATCATAGACTTCAACTGATTTTTTATGTGCCATCGTGCACTCATACCAAACAATGAGTACATTTTTGTTATACTTTTCCCAAACTGGATGTTCTGGAAATATTGCATGTGGGAGTTTAGATGATTTGTATGTTCAATGGCAACTTAAGAGCTGAATGAGCAGTGCTTCCACCTGAGCACAATGTCGCAGCTATTTCAGATGAAGCGAGAGCTACGGCTATCTAACTTTTTCATCGAACCGTTACCAGAAGCAATCTTATAAGGAATGATTTCCTCGTTCCTCCTGGAGCATCCAAGAAGAAGGTCCCCCAACTCTGTAATTTATCATTTGCATCTTCTTATTTGGCGCTGTAACTGCAGAAGCGATTTTGGCCGAGTTCGACAGAGCACCTTGTTTCTCTCTGTGCCAACTGAAGCCAATTGGAAATGCCTCGTGAAGCCAAGTCCTTCTCCACAGTGTGCGGGCCAGGGTTGCCCCTGACGACACAAAATACTTACCATCCACTCGAAAAAAATCTACCAAATCCAGATAATATCTACCAATAACTTTTTTTTAGTTATTTTAATAAAAACTTTAGATTTTAACTTTTTTTTTAATTATTTGAATTAAAATTTTAATTTTTATTAAGGAACCTTTTATTTAATTAAGGATATGGTATTCGGTTTCCTTCAACCAACAGCGAAAATAATTAAACTAAGGCAGTCGGGTCTACGTAACCGGAACGACCCAGATTTATATCTGGCCAAGGACTGTCACTCCCGCAATACTGCCCAAAAACTATTTGGGGAATTTGTATGCTCCTACAACAACAACAGCAACAAACAAAGGCAACAATGAAACTTCATCATTTGAAAAAATTTTAATTGGAGTTATTATAGACAAATACAGTGACAAAAACCGCTCGCTGATTTTTTTTTTCTAATTTTAACAATGATTGTCAATTAAAAATTTTTATAATTTTTTTGTATAGGAATATTATTTGCGCTTTAACCAAAATCATAAAAATCAAGGATTCAAGCTATATACCACAATAAGAAGAATTCCACAAATTGGCGCCAAAATTTCGAACTTTCTACTCTGAATTTTACGACATTTTTGTGTATACATTGAATTTTAGTACATATAACCAACAATGTGCAGCCAGACATTCCCACTGATTAATCTTTTTTTGCCTCCGCTCTTTTGTGTTTATTTTTTCATTTAACAATTGCCATTTATAAAAACGAGCGTTGATTTTTTGATTTTTTTTGCGAACAAACATAGTTTGTAATCACATACCTGTCATTTATTTATTTTTATTTGAAAAATCATTTAAAATAATTAGGCAGTAAAAACCTCCTCAGGATTCCAGTAAAATGAGTTTTGAATAGAGCACGATATGTTCGCCTTCGAAAAATAATGCCATAAAGTAGACTACACTTTTTTAAAGAAATTAATAATATAAAGGCAACTACGTAAAATAAAGCGCTAACGAAAAGCTTTATTTGTTTTTCAAACAAAATACTTCAACAAAAATCTACCAAAAGGAAACAAAATTTACGTTTTTACCAAGGCAAATTTTTTCTACCAATTTTGGTAATAATTTACCAAAGTGGCAACGCTGGTGCGGACTGTAAAATTTGTTTTAGCGGTAGATAAGCCGATAATTATTTAGATTCCAAAACAATGTGGTAGATTCACATATACATATTTATATTTATGCATTAGGGCGGGTCAATTTGTATGGGAGATTTTTTCGACTATGCGCGTATAGCACAAAAGGATTATATGTGTAATTCTACGAAAGTTTGCCGAAGAAACCATGGGTCTAAAATCAATTTAGAGTTTGTCAAATCGCGAAAGTGGGTTTCTTAGCATTTTGCGATAGTGTCGTGAAGTAATGGTTTAATTTTGTATAAAAATATTCTATAAAGGTTGTTTGGAATGAGGATTCCATTTCTGCACTTAGCTTTTACTTAAAACTTCTATCGGAGGGCCCAACAGTAAAAATTTTTACATTTTCGCAGTTTGGCAAACTCCTAAGCTATGTGCGCATAATTAAAAACAAATTGAACCGCCCTAGTATGTATTTAATAAAATATTTAAATTTTTTAATTCTTTTATTAGTCTATAAAAGATACAATACTTTCACACATACGTACATTAGACTGCATCACTCCACATACAAAAAAAATCGGTGCTGTTTTTCGATTGGAATTATAAAATCTATTATAGTCCCGAT